GCTGCGATGCGGGCTCAGACGTCGACGCCGACTCCGGCACAGACACCTGCAGCAGCGACGCCAGCACCGACGCCAGCACCGACTCCAGCACCGACGCCAGCATCTTCGACGCCAGCTCCGACGCCGGCACGGACCCCTGCACCGCCGCCAGCAGCATCGTCGCCAGTTTCGACCCTGTCACCGCGACCAGCAGCAAGGGCGCGGGCACCGACGCTGGCACCGACACTGGCACCGACGCCAGTAGGATCGACGCCGCTGCCAGCTTTGGCACGAATGCCAGCAACATCGACGCCGGCACCGACGCCTGCAACATCGACACCGGCACCAACTCTAGCACCGACGCCGGCAGCTTCGACGCGGGCTCCGACGCCAGCGCCGACTCCAGCTCAGGTGCGGTTCTGCCGCCGGCTCCGGCACAGGCGCTGGGCTGGCTGGCAACAAGGCCGGCGCCTACTTCAGCACCGACCCCAATCCCAACGCCCGCACATACGCCACCGACACTTTCGGCAGCGCCCGCACCAACGTCGACGCCAGCGCCGACGCCAGCACCGACGCCAGCACCAACGTCCACGCCTACGCCGCCACCATCGGCAGCGCCTACACCAGCACAGGCGCCGGAATCAATGCCTGCGACGACGACCGCACCCACGCCAGCATCTGTGACAGCACCTACGCTTGCACCAGCGCCAGCTCCAAGCTCTAGGCTCCACGGCTCTGTCGCCAGCACTGACGCCTGCACCTCCACCAGTTGCCACGGCATCGACGCCAGCACCGATGCCGTCACCTACGACAGCATCGACGTCAGCGACGCCAGCACCAGCCCGTCTACACAACAGTCCAGATCCACAGACGACTCCACAGCAGTCCGACTCCACAGTCCGACTGCACATCAGTCCGACTCGACAGCCCGACTCCACAGACCGTCTCTACGTGCAGCCCTTCCACGACCCACAGCCCAGCTCAACAGTCCGACTGCTCAGTGGTCGACACAGCTAAACACGGCTATCGGTTCTGCACAGTGGTCGACAGCTTGGCTTCTCCAAAACCCTTCTCCTCCTTCCACCCCCCCAGAGAAACCTCCCTTCTCCACCTCCACCTCCACCTCGCCGAGTGCCATTTACTCCGACCACCGACGTACGGATACAGACCACCTACCTGCACTCAACGCGCGCAGACTGCACACATTTACGACCCCCAACAGTGAGGGCGCGATTCCGCCAGTCCCGACTCCAGCACCGACGCCCGTCCCAATGCCAGTGCCGCAGTCAGCACTGACGCCAGCCCAGCAGTCCGACTCCTCTGTGCGACTCCACTGCCTGCCCTCACAGTCCGATTCCACAACTCGACTCCAGCAGTCCGACGCCAATGTCCGACTTCACAGCAGTTCGACTCTTCAGGCTGACCGCGCCGCAGTCCGACCCCACAGTCCGACTCCACGGCAGCCCGACTCGATAATCAGACTTCACAGGCCGTTCTCACGAGCAGCCCTTCCACGCCCCACAGGCCAACTCCACAGTCCGACTCCTCAGGCCGCCGCCTGCGACGACGCCGCCAGCTCCCACAGCATCGACGCGAGCAACGACCTCGGCGCGAATCCCCACAGCACCGGCCACCTTCTTCTGATGATGTTCTGGCTGGTGGTCTCCACGGACATGGGCATTACAGAGGCATCCGGACCTCGAGTTAGGCAGGAACATTTTGTCCATCGTGCACGGCGGGTCGGAAGATCCCGCAAGCGCTGGACGGCGCGAGGCCGACGGCCCGAAGTCGACACAATGGGCGCCGGCACCCGCCCCAGCACCCACGGCAGCACGGTCACCGATGCGGGACGCAGCACCACCAGCACACAATGCCGCAGGGGTATGCAGATGTTTGTGAAGACACTCACGGGGAAGACCGTCATGCTCATCCTGGAGCCCGACTGCTTATACAGCGACCAACACCACCACCAGCTTGCCACCAACCAGGCTTTGCTGGCGCAGCTGGCAGAGCACTGGCGCAGGCGGATCGAAACCCATGGGGTACGGCGCTCACGACTTCTGCTCCGCGCGGACGCAGCCGCCAGGGAGTTGGAGACGGAGGCGGAGGAAGCAGAACGGAAGGCGGTCGGCCGGAATAGCCCCTTTGGACCCGACATCCGCGACCACAACGACAAGCAAGATTACGTGCGCGACAACACTCACAATGACGGCGACGACGCCCACGACGACCGCGCCCACGACCACGTCAGCATCACCGACGCCAGCATCACCAGAGCTGGTACCCACGACACTGCAGGACGCGGGACGCCCGCCCTGACGGAAACCGTGCCACCAGCCACGTGCACCTCTGCGATCATCACGGCTGACACTCGCACCGACGCAGGCATCCATGACAGCCTGGACGCCCACATCCACGTCGGCACCCCCGACGACACGAACGCCACTCCGAGACGCAGCACGGAGGCCAGCTCCGACGGCGACGTCACCACACGGGGTACGACAACTCTCAGGAAGCCCCGCGGGGGAATGCAGGTCTTTGTCAAGACGCTGACGGGGAAGACCATCGTGCTCAACGTGGCGGCCAATTCCACGATCGAGGACGTTAAAGCGAACATCCAAGACTCCGAGGACATCTCCCCTGTCCAGCAACGCCTGATTTACGGCAGCAAGCAGCTGGAGGACAGTCGCACGCTTACGGACTACAACATCCAGAAGCACGCCACGATGCACCTGGTGCTCCGCCTCCGCGGTGGTGGGCCAGAAACCCTGCCCACGGGGTTGCACTCTTGCCGGCACGGTGCTTGCCCGCTCTTCGGAACTGTGACAACGGGCGCGGGCCGATGCCCATCCTGCCACCAGGAACGACAGTTTCAGGCCCCAGGGCCACCAACGCCTGGCCATGAGGAGGGCACTGCTTCACCGCGAGGGGCTGCGACGCCAACGTCCCGTGCGGCACCTCCCGGACTCCCCGCCCTGACTCCCCAAGCCTCGCAGGTTCACCGACTCCACGACGCACCCGTTGCGCAACCAGAGGCTCCGGACAAGGAGGGGCGCATGGACGAGCTGCTCGCCGAACTGATCGAGCAAGAGGTCTTGGGGCACGGAGACTACACCAGCGCGGTCACGGACACCCGCGAGCCTTCAGACAACCGACCCATGATCACATTGGACGCCCTGCGCACATGGCCATCTCTTATCCCAGTCCTCCGGTCCCTCGCCTACGACCCCAGTTCCGCGGATCCATGGGCACTTGTGGGCATCCCAAAGTGCGAAGGCCCACCCCCCACGACGGAAATGATCATGCGACGAGTGGCCTTGGCCCATGCCCTGACGTCAGTCTGCCAACACCCAGGGCGCAGACTCCAGGAATCAACAGAGCCCAAGGACTTCTTGGACCGACTCGACGCCGCAAGCAAGCACTGCTTTAACGATCTCCCCCACATCCTCCGGGAGAAACGCAAATGGACGACCACCCGGAGCCCGCGCTGGCTTGAAGCCGGCACCTCTCTACTCAAGTACTTGCACGACCGGGCGACCACCGCGGCGAGACCCACAACCCTCCTCCTCCACACGTCCAATCTACAGGAAATCGACTTTACACATTTTCCTCTGGCACTCCCGCCGCTCACTGGTCGGCAGCAGTACGAGGCTCTCACCAAGAGCGCTGCGACCATCCGCGGGGCCCTGCACGGGATGACAGGCAAGGACCTCTACATGTGGGCACCGATGGATTCGGAGACCATGGCACGACTTGCCCGTGCTTTCAAAACCTTTGCGGCCACAGCTGCCGCCACGACCACTCTGCACCTTCTGGTCCCGCACGACGTCTACCCAGGCTGCAGCACGCACACGGAAATCCAGGACCAATGGGGGCATAGCTTGATGGAGACGGAATGGAAACCGATCTTAACCTGCGTGGAATACTTACGCCAGCCAGTCAGGTGTGTCTTTCCGGGACAGACTGGTCCGCTTCACCACGTGAAAGCGATCGCGGTTTTTCGTCTGTCGACTTGTGGCACCACCTCGCCTCCGGTCACACTCAATTGGCGGCCGACCCTGCTGGAGGAAAGCGCGGGCCCGGCAGTCATCGTGGATTTCTACGGCGCGGAGGAACTCGGCGTCCACGGCGCGCTCAAGAAGCTGTCTCTTCCTGGCTTGATTTGCTGGGGCGGCCCACGGCGCAGCCTCGGCAGCAAGGGCCCGGCACAAAGGCTGTGCTTCGTGGGATTCTTCGAGGAGACCCGCGTCACGGACTTGGACCTGCACCTCTACGTAGACCACCTCAAGAACCAGGACGAGTTGCACAGGACGCTCATCGGACGACGCGCGCTGTTTACCGACCGCACGGCCATGGTGGTAGATATGGGTTCACCGACAGCGATTGAGGCCATGCGGGACTGGACGAACGAGGTGGTGCTCGTCTCGTCACGCCGGGCATTGATCAGGACGGCGTGGTCCGCGGAGCACTGGATCCATGAACTCTCTGACCAGGGCACAGTCACACCACTCGACGCTATCACGCGGGTGCGGCATCGCCCATCGATCTTGGGCGGTCGTACGTGGGCGAAGCCGCAGGCCCTCCCAACAACACGGCGACGGGCAGTGGCACGAGCATCTCCCGCGCCCGCCACGCAGTCAGAGGCACGCCGCATCTCCCTGACCACTGCCATCGTTATTTCCGACGCGCCTTCGGGCCACCCGGACTCCCTTCCAGGCCGCCTCATGACGCGGATCTCTGCGCTCACCGGCACGCCCTGGCAGATGCAGCAAGAGGGGGGACCTCTCCTCCCACACCGCTGGCGCAGCGAGAACGCGCACCGCCTCGCGGTCCAGTGCAGCACCGTCGACGACCTCAACGTACTCTACCACCACGCTCACAACACTTGCATGGAGATCGACGGCATGCCGTGCTTGGTCGAGAATTTGAACCTTTTTCACGACGCTCCCCAGGCACCCCCAATCCCACCCTACACAGCCGCTCCGTCCCCGGCGCCCCCCCTCGAGGCGGCCAGGGACGATGCGCTCGGGACTTGACGTGGCCGCTGCTGCGTATCTGTATTCGTGCGACTCTCCCATCGCATGTGCATGACCCCTCCCACCCTACCGACTTCGAGCGTCCCGCTGCTCAGCGATGCCACCTCCAGCCTCCGGCGTCTGACTTCCCACTTCCGCCTCCATCTATCGACTTCCAGCGGCCAGCAGCGCGACGCTCCGACCGCCACGCTCCAGCCCACGACTCTCCAACCCCACCTCAACCTGGCGACTACCAGCGCCCAACCGCTCACCACTCCGACTCCAGGCTTCCTGCACCCGGCTTTTCACCTCCACCTCCACCTCTCGACCTCCAGCCTCCCACAGCTCAGCGATGCGACCTCCAACCTCCAGCATCCGACCTTGCACCCCCGCCTCCGACTATCGACCTCCAGCGGCCTTCCCGTCCTACTCACAACGACTCTACTATTCCCCATCCCCCGCACTACACCCCTCCTCCCCTAACGCCGTCGCCCGAGCCTCCCCCACCCCCTGGCCCTCCCCGTGGACTCCCTACTCGGCCCGGCACGGCCTCCAGCAGCATCGGATCCCACACGCCGACCACTACCCCAATGGCGACATCCCAAGACACGCCCCCGGACCACCAGGATAGGACGACCCGGCACCGAAACTACAGTGCCCCAGAGAACCCGACGACTCTTCAAAATCTTGCAAAACGACCTCGACTCCAACAAGCCCCGCACGACCACGCGACCGATGCCCCCCAGCCGATCGACCCGACAACAGAGAGCCCGAGACACCACACACCGATCACTGACCAGCCGGCCGACCGACCCAGCACAGACCCAGAACGCCACAGCAGGACACGACGTCAACGCCTGACCATCATTGCCGACACGACTCCGGCACGCTCCACGAAACGACCGCGAACCGACGCCGCCCCTCTCGATCTCCCCCCTACGCCACCCCCTCCAGCACTTCCACCAGCCGCCTTCCCTTACGCAGGGGCCTACCGAGGCGCCTATTGGAACGCTCAGGCCCTCTTCGCAGCCGCCCCTCGTGCCCAACAGGACAAGCAACATCACGCATGGAATCTGCTACAGAAACATGATTTCGTCGGCCTGGGCGAAACTCACAGCACGCTCGGCCACGTGACCGCATCCACACTACCAGCACATACGCGCATTTTTTGGTCGCACCACAGCGCGCGACGGACCGCGGGCATCGGCCTCATCCTGACGAATCACTTCCTCAGCTCGTTCAACCCGGTACGGGACGAAGATTGGGTGGAAATTTCTCCAGGACGTTTGGCAGTATTGTCATTACGTGGACCGAACGGCGCGTTGGACATAGTCGTGGCGTATTTCCCCGCCGGCCACGACGAAGCAGCAGCTCGACGACAACTTATCCAGGACCTCGCTGACCAGGTGGCCGACGCGGGCTCCACGCTCACCCTCCTGATGGGGGACTGGAATTTCGTGACAGCAGCGGAGGACAGGTGGTGCATGCGCTCTGGCCAATGGACGGGCGCCGCGGACCACAGAGAGGCGGACGACTGGGACAGTCACCTCGCGCGCCGGCACGGCTTCCACGAGCTATTCCAACCACTCCCTACTTGCGAGTCCGGACGCGCCCTCTCCCGCATCGACCGTGTCTACTCCAACCACCACGGTTCCGACCAGCTGGACCGCCAGTACTCCGCAACCGCGCTCCCGCACACACCACTCTCGCAGCATAGACCCCTATCTTTTTCCCGTCTCACCAAAAGCCGATCCCAAGGTGCAGGAGGCAACTTCCCCACTGGATCCTTGCGCCACCCAGACTGGAACCGTCGATTGGCCCTCGCCTACAACGAAGCACTGCGCGACGACCGCAACCCCCAGAACCCTCTCCGCCGACTGAGGATTCTGAAGCAGTGCATGGCACGAGTGGCGACGAAGATGCATCAAGAAGGACTTGACGTCCCCTCCGATGACCGACGCGACCATTTAGGCTGGACAATGGCATACATCCGTGCAGCAGAGCGCATATCCGTACCAACGATGCATCGCTGCTTGGCTGCCTATCCCCCACCTTGCTACGATGGCCCCCGGCGCCGACCCGAATGCTCGTCTCTCACGGCTGCTTCAAGCAGTCCGACAACATGCGGTTGACCTCGCCCACAACGCGGTCACGACAGACCATGTTGCATTACAGCGGCAGGAGGCCGACATCACCTCGGGGGACTACCAGCAACGCAAAACTCATATTCTGACGAAGCTCCGACGCTTGCAACCAGGCTGCAACACCGCCATCGGCGCTATTCAGACCCCAGACGGAAATCTAGCACACACGCCCCACGACATCGCACAGGAGCTGGGGAAGCATTGGAGCCGAGTCTTCACACGACAACCGATCAACCCTCACATCTTGGAGCGCTGGCTCGCATCCCTCCCGCAGTTCCTACCGACCCGACCCCCGGCGCCTACGTCAGACGCCGCCCCGAGCCACCCTAACGCCGCAGACCACGTACAGCAACACCCCGCCCCCCCCCCCACAACGACAGCCGACCTCCAATCCCACCAGACAACGACCCGGCCGCCCGCGTCGCCACCACTCCCGCCCACCCTTAGACATATCTCTGGACAAATGGGCATTACGAGAGGCAGATGTGGAGTCAGCGGTGAAACATTCGGGCAACAGCATGCCAGGCCCGGACGGTATTCCGTATATCGCTTGGCGGCAGAGCGGCCAGCTCGCCATCAGGGCCCTTTGGGAAGCCGCCGACGCTCTCCAGAGCACCTCCGGGGAGAACTCCCTCCACGAGCTGAACGACGGCAGCGACCCCGACGGCCACGACTTCAACTTGGGCACCCTCGTGTGCTTGGGCAAGAAAAAATTGACTTGCGACCCAACCCATGGAGACGTTTACACGGCGGACAGCACGCGTCCGTTGTCTATCGTGAACACAGACAACAGGATCATTGCGAATGCAGCCCGATTGCGCTGGGAACCGGTCATTAACGCGTGGGTCGGCCCACCGCAGCAAGGCTTTCTTCGACACCGATCACTTTTGAAGAACGTGCTCGACGTCGACTTTGCCAGCATGGCCACCGCACTCCAATCGGACTCCGGCGCCATCATACTCTTTGACTTCGCGTCCGCGTTCCCGTCGCTCTCGCAGGAGTATTTGCACGACATGCTGCGCCACCTGGAATTACCGGAGTCGGCCCGGAGCTTTGTGAAGCACCTGTACGACAACAACCGATGCCAAATTGTGAGCCAGGGACAGACACTCCCAGGCTTCCCCCTGACGGCAGGCGTCCGGCAAGGATGCCCATTGTCCCCTCTACTGTACGCCATCTGCGCGGAACTATTACTAGACAAGATCCAGGCAACTTGTCCGGGCATCTTGGTACGCGCGTACGCCGACGACACCGCCGTTGTTTCCGCAAACTTGTGGGAGGATGCTCCCCGACTGGCAGCCCTCTTCGACGACTTCGCAGCAATCTCTGGGCCGAGGCTTAATCTGCAGAAGACGGTCATCATTCCACTGTTCGCATCCCCGCTCTTGCCGGTGAGGACCCACCTCGACGCCCTTGTTCCGAGCTGGTCAACCACGCAGTTGGCCCCTGCAGGGAAGTATCTAGGATTCTACGTTGGGCCGGGCAGCCGCGACCTGCTCTGGAAGGACCCGCAGGCAAAGTTCAAACAACGCGCATCTTTATGGGCAGGCCACCCGCTGGGACTTCATTGCGCTGCGCTCGCATACAATGCCTTTGGGATCTCGGTGTTGACCTTCGTGGCACAGCTCAGCGACCCGACGGATGACGTTCTCACCGTGGAGTTGCAATGTCTACGACGAGCCGCTCCCGGCCCCGGTAATTGGGCCACGCCAGAGGATTTATGGTGGCTACAACATTCGTACAATTTTCCCAGCGCTTTCCGGAGTCTCCGGCTTGCCGCCCAAGCAGCACAACTACGAGTACGATTGTGGGACACAGCCTGCGGCGACCACCCCGCGGAACCAGGCACTCCCTTGGACTTCCACCTCCCGGGCGACGGCGCGCGCCCCGCTAACCCTGCCGACCTTCCCCCGCACGCCCCCAACAACACAAACTACAATGGCGCATTCAACCGACGCACCCGGTTCCTCAGATCACTTTTGGGCACCACCGACCGCCTGCAGGAAAAAGCAATGTGGGATCAATGGTTCCAGCACTCCTACCACCTACGCTTGGACACCACATTGTCGGACATGACGACGCTTCTGGGGACACCCACCGAGCTATACCGCTCCATGGCACCGACGCGTCCCACTCCTTACTCCGTGAAAGAATGGGGCCGCATCCGCGCTCGTTTCCAAGCCGCCGTGCATGCTCGACTCTTACAGGCGCGCGCCCCGCCAGCCGAACACCGCATCCGGCACGAATACCGACGCTGGTACCTCAACATGCCCGACCACGCTCACATCACTAGCTTGTTTCCAGTCCGGCAGCGCACAGAGAATTGGCATGGCCGGGCAGCTCTCCATCACCTTAAGCAGTTGAACAAGTTGGTGGCTCCAAGGGTACAGTCGGCGGTCTTCAGCACGATGTGGAATCGATGGACGACGGCCCGTCGTTTTCAACAACATGGTGGACCATGCCTCCTGTGCAGAGTGCCCCACGCACAGGACGCGATTGAGCATTGCGCGAAGTGCCCGGTGGTGAAGCGGCTTGCTGCGCAGTTCTTGCACCTCGACCCGCACCTGTTCGTGAACCTCCATTCTTTTCTTCTGGTAAATCCTTTGGCCAACACCACGGAGATGCTCACGACCATCGCCCTTCTGGTCTATGCGACGTACAGGTGCACCAATTACCAGCGACACGCCCAGACCCCCCTGCCGACGGCAGCACTTTACGACGCAATGACACAATGGGTACGGGAAGGTGTTCGAGGCCACGGCCGTTCCACCCGCGTCCTTACCCGGCGCTGGACTGCGCACGACTCCCATCCGCTCCCCCGGGTGCCGTGATTCCAGTACCACTTCCAGTAGCAATTGCCCT